ATAACAATCTGATTGTTAAGTGGCGTTTAGACATTTCATAAACTATGGCACAAACAAATGTCTAAATGGTTATATCTCTATGCTAGTGTTTTTGTTTCTTGTTTTTAATGTTTTCCATCTGCTGTAGGTAACAAAAGATATAAAAAACAAAGTTTGGCTTAACGCGATGTCATTGTTAGATAACTGTTTCTAATAGTTTGTGAAATGTCTAAACGCACCATCAAATATCGAACATACAATATTTACAACAATCGGTACAAGCCACTAAATCGGTACATCCTTTCTAATAAATTAAATAATGGAATACCGAATAATAGCAATTAATTACACATAATACTTAAATCCGGACCATCGTTAGGTTCCATCGACAGACATGATTCCGACACAAGTAAAATATTTTGAATGTATTATTAATGAGGTATCGTGTTTTGGTTATCTCTGTCGCTGCATCAACTAAAAATCTAGGATAAACCTGAATTGACCTCAATTCCTCCATCACGGATATGTCCCTAAAATGTATATGTCCAAGGTTAAAGGGGATTGGTGTGTCAAAGAAGATGATTAATACAAGATATTGCGTATTCATCGATTGCGTTAAAATAGTCTTGTTGCGATTAGTTACGAAATCGACATTGAAAACAGTGACTATCAAAGCTATCTTTAATTTATTTTTAGGAATGGTACAAGCTCCCAAACTGAATTTTAAATAATCCAGAAATAAATTTCTCAGCAGTAAAATTAAAATATTTGAAAATAAAAAAAATCACATTGTTTTATGATAAAGTTCTTGAACTTCTAATACAAATTTTACTTACATGTATATATTGTGATCGTAAAGTTTTTCAAAGAAAATAGTTCCCCTGTTTTCTGTGTGTGTATATTTACTTGAATAGCTTAGCCAAAACGAAAAATCGTACGAAATTGAAGTTATGTACTTGAGGTTGAATATATTCCCGAAATATGTCAGTAACTTTTTTCTACAATCGACTAACCGGAAAGATTACTTTATGTTACAAATGTAAAAAATATGTATATTTTTCAATTTTCAAGAAAAACGGGTAATTTTTGTCTAAGCGGCCGCTACTGACTGCTATCTGCCAATGTTTATAACCTGAACACTGATAACTCCCATAACGCAGTGATAAGCCTTCTCCTACTTCACATCTTCGTATTATTGTATTAAATTCGTATTATTGAAAGTGTAAACAGATACAAAAACAAATGTAATAACAACAAAAATACTTTTATTTGACGACAAATATAATAATGAAATAATAAAAAAACACTTTAAGAAGATATGTACATATAAAACATCAAAATGAAATTAAAAAAAAACAAATTTAAAAGAACATATTTACATAGAAAAGAACAAATATCAACACTATAAACAACGTATATACAAATTATTTTAAGTTAATTATTCACTTCCTTTTGTCTTATTTATTTTGGAAGGCAAAATTGTTTTATGCTACTTAAAATAGCGAGGAATGGGTCCTCTTTTCTGTGAACCCGCCGCCACAAAAATTCGCACAAATATGAATCGAGGTGTTGTCTGGCAGTTCCTCTATGTACATTATTTCTCCACTTCGCTGAGCCCCACAATCGTTTTATGTGTTGAGTATGAAGACGTGTGTTCTATGTGTTGAGTGAGTCGGAAGACTGTAAATCCCATATTCTAAGAAGATCCATAATATGACGAAAATAAACGAAAAAAAAAATGAAAAATAAACTGAATGAAAAATAATATGTGTTGAGTATGAAGACGTGTGTTCTATGTGTTGAGTGAGTCTGAAGATGGTAAATATGAATATGTTCTAATCAGATCCATAATATGACGAAAATAAACGAAAAAAAAATTGAAAAATAAACACCAAGGGGTCACAAACTAAAAAAAAATGTAAAATAAACACAAACGGGCCAAAAACTAAAAATAAACACAAACGGGCCAAAAGTAAACAATTTAATAAGTGAACTAATAAGGGAATAACTGAAAACTAAACAATGCAATAACTCAAAGGTTTGGCGGGATAAGAAGAGGGAGGTTATGTGACATGATGACATGACGTTAGATAACATACATAAGAAGTGAGGTTTCAAAACGGCCGCTTAGACAAAAAGTACCGAAAAACGATTTTAATTGAACTCGTTATATCAGTATAATTAAATAGCCTTATCCTAATTATAAAGTAAAATTTTGAGATATTTTAGTCCTAATGTTGAAAACAGTCGTTCCTATTCGATTTTCTTGGCGCTATCGTTTTACCTTTCCGACTCTCTGACTCGGATCAAAATACAATTTTTATTTTTAGCTCATTACGAAGAAGATGATATACTGAACATTTCTCTCGCTTACAGTATGGAAGTCTGATTTTTAATTTCTGAGATATTTTAAACCATATGCAAAATCACTTCAGTTAATCGAATCGAGTCGACTTTACCCGAATAAGCGTTACACATCCAAGCCTGAAAGGCTCAGTTTCATTCACCCCCACAAAAACGTGCCTAAAGTTTTTACTTCAAAAAGGACTTGAAAATTCCGGCTACTGTAACGGTTTATACCTTGCGCTCAATGATTCACTGTTGAGAGCTGTCCACTTGGGCAACAAGTTCCGTTTCCTCGCAGTTACTCAGCTCGGCTATCCCCGGGTCTGAGGCTCATTCCAAAGGATTGTTGACGCGATCCAAGTGTCTTCCGAACTGACCTTTTTGATTTTATAGCCTTGATAATTAGCGCATTTTCCTTTTAAGGTGAAACGCAGTTTTCCAACAGCTCATTTCTTACGTCTTACGACGTTAGGGGAAAAGTTGCGAAATTGCGATTACTGTCAAGTGGACAGCATAGCTGTCCTATGACTAAGTTAACTGTCATCGATTGATATTTTATTGAGGAAAATATCTTCTTTAGAATAGCTACTATGGTTAAGAAGAGTACCTCATATCTGTAAGAATCCTACTCTAGGAGACGATTCTAGAAAAAAAATCATTTTATGTATGGGCCAATATCGAACGGAAAAAGAGTGAAATCCAATTTTGTGTTTTCTCAAGATGGTAACGTTTTCTTCTTCATAGGAAGCGATGACACAAAAATTATTTAATTTTCTTACATCAAACGCATCCAATGCTCAGTCCTTGACCTTATCCTTGAAAATTTTTCCAAATTCCATCAGAACCTTATAAATCATCCGAATCCTCTAGCACAATCCCTATCTTGTTCCACTCATCCCTACAATCCTCCTCGAACTTTGAAGCGGCAGTGGCTCAGAGATCTTTTGTAGTATATATCTTGCAGTTCTGGAATGGCTAGATTCTCCACTCAAGACATGAGTGTATGTGGCTAAAGTGCTCTTGCTCAAACTCCACTGGTTTTAGCGCCAGTGACGCAGAGAGTAGATCAGGGATCTCTTGGAGTCTTGTTTTTCTTTCTATAGTTGGGGGGAGAAGCCTTACTTGGGGTTCCCTGCTTGATTATGTAAGTATGACTGTGTTTTTGATTTATTTATCTTTAGGTTATTTTATTTTTTTACTGTATATAGTTTTTGATTATTATTTAGTTATTATTTTAATTTTATATTTTCTCTATATATAGTGTGAATGTGTTTATATACCACTATAATTATTGTACACGTGGTATTACATTTCTAGATTATTATATTTCTAAATGAATAAATTTTTAAAAAATTAGGTAATTAAAAATTGCTCAAAGTAACCTAGACTAAATTTCATTTATGTAGAAGTAGAGTTTGTCTTTGTCATAACCATTTAAAATTGACTTTTGAGAGGCTAAACTACTCTGTTATAGTTTTCATTAAACCATATTCGCTATGTTCTTTTATCATCATACAAGTGGACTACATATAACCCACTTTTATATAAACTTTGTTTTTTGATAAACTCTATTTGAGTGAAAAATTATATGATTCGGCATTCTTTTATCACAGAGTACCTGTATTTTCAGCAGAAATTATTATAAAGTTTTAACTCTTCATTTTTCCTGTGATCTGAAGCCTATTTTAATAAATTAATTATGGACATACACTTTTTTTAATTAAAAAAATGCTGCTTCTTCAAACATTTATCATGTAACGTAGTGGTCTCCAAACGTTTTGAATCGGGGGCCACATTGTAACGCCCACTAGGTTTCACGAGTTCGTCACTAAATCACATGGGCCATGAGTTGTGATAAAAAAAAAAAATGTTCTACAAATTACACGTCAGTCGTGAAATGAGCTTTCTAATAGAAACGAGACATGCAATAAATGCTGTAGTAACCTTTTGTCTGATTGATTTACTAAATTTCATATTTTTAAAATAGTTTTTAACATATTATATGGTAAAATATTGTAGTCAAGAAACTTCCACGGGCTGGACTAGAATTACTTGCTGGCTTTAATTTGGAGACTCCTGATCTAAGGTGATACTATATCAAAGTGCTCATATAATTACTACAATAAAAGAAATGTAATTGAAACCATTAAAAGATAAAACTTAGATATTTTTTACGTGTAAGTATTGTGCGTTTTCAACAAATATTTTAAAACACACTTTATAAGACTTTAGTAATATAGAGACCATCAAGCTAATAACGCTTTCAGTCAAATCGCTTTACCATTTTTGAAAAATGCATAGCAGTGTACAAGGGTCGTCCACCCCCCTCAAGAAATTTTATTCCTCTTCTCTTCTTAAAAACAATGCTAATTAAAATTTAATCAGAAAAGGTATAAATCATAGATTGTAATTATGTTCCATATTTTTCTCTTTGTTTCTTGATTTGGAAGTTTCTTTAAATTGAAAGTACGCACAAGTATGTGCCCTATCCATCATAAATTCATTACGTGCGTCCGCAAAATAGATTCATTACGAAATGAATTTAACCTGTTCAGGCCGGATTCGAATCGGCGCTGCTAGACTAGACTTTTAGTATTACTGCCCTGTTATACTTATATTACTGCCCTAACACACTCGGCCACCACAGCCTCTCTCTGTTAAGTTAACTACCGATATTACTCTAGTTGTACAGTAAGGATCTTGTACTCACCCTGGGAGCCCGCCTTGGACACGCTGGACCTGGATGCCGTCTCCTCCTCGCTGTCTTCCAAGGACTCGATGGAGGCCAAGTAGTTCTTGCTCGGCAGTCTTCTTCTTCCTGAGCAACTGCTGCTCACTGCAACATCATATATAGCCATTAATAATACAGTAAGGCGAATTGTTTTAGCCAGCCAGGTAATTTCATATATTCTCCTCTCCTGCTTGCCAAATGAGGACCTCATTTGGTCAAGCAAGGGAGGAGGACCACCATAAGTTAGGTGATTACTATTTTTATTAAATAATTTCTTAAGATTGGGTTTTAAATATATATATATATATATATATATATATATATATATATATATATATATGTATATATATATATATATATTTTTTTTTTTTTTTTTTTTCTCTTATATGTATATATGTTACGAATGACTGCAAAACCTTAAGCACTGCCCTTGGGTGTGGCAGAATGTATTATTATTTCATAAATAAATTAAGATTAAAAATAGCAAACGAAACTACAGTTGAATATGCAAATATCATTGAAAGAGAAGTTAAAAGACCTTTACACAACCCAACATGGCCACGTCAAAAAAAAAAAAATAAAAAAAATAATTCAGCAGGATATTGAAAAGTAGTCAGTTCAAAGATTTCATGTAACCCATGTATCATGGAACCAAAATTTATATATTGACCTAAAAAATAAAACAAATACACCAATAAAAAAACTCGAATAACAGATTCATTCGCTCTTCCTTGCCTGCCCAACGACGGTTCATGCTTCTATAACTCAATAAACATTTTTAAGGACTACTTAGGTAATACCTAATTATATACTAATTATATTTTCTATTTTGAAATCTATAAGTAAAATGTATACGCCAAAATCAGCAACAATTAATGCGAACAATGTCTTGCTCCAATAATTTTGTCGGTAGTTTACAGAAAATCAACTTTCTGTGGGAACGTAAAAAATTAAGCAGACATTAATTTTGAGATAATTAATTTATAACAACATAATTTTTCGTTATCGATCTGTCGGGCTGGCTTCGTCTTGGTTGATTATTTTCTATTTAAAAACTGTAGGTTTTAATCGTATAATTATTTCTAATGGAGTAAATACCCCAGTATACACGATAACAGTTTACTATTAATTACTATAGATGCAGCGAAAACTTTCAAAGCTACTGTCATTTTATAAATAAAATATATTAATCGATTTTTCAATAGCATCGTAATATTTCATGAACAATTATATGTGTAAGAAATACAAAGATTTTTAATATGAATATACCGAGAATTAAAAAAAAAAAATTAATTTCCAAGAAACTGTTTAACTACGGATGATGGTTAAAAGTCCTCATTTTTTTCACAATTAAATAATTTTTTTTTTTAATTATAAAAAATTCTATTTCACTCACTCCGTAAATCATCTTTTTTTTTTTTTTTTTTTGCAAAAACTAATGAAAAAAATAGGTAAAGAAAAAACAGTTCAGTACCATTTTCTCGACTAATTTTCTTTTTCCTTTTATTGTTTAGTAGTTATTGACGAGCTTTAGTGTTATCAACAAAAAGTTAGTTTATTAAAAACCACTAAACTCAGAAAGTTCTTCACCGGTTGCTTTCAAATTTTGATACAGCATTACAATAAAATCCAAGAGTGTTTTATTATATTTTTCATTTTCTTTTCATCCGGCTTTTTTTTTTTCAAAATGACGGCCGAAAAACTTGTGTTGCTAAAGCGTCTAAACGGCTGGAACGATTTCAATGAAACTTACTTGGTCTTCGCCTCAAAGCCCTTTTAATTTATATATACCATATCCTTCCCCGGAAAGAGTATGAAAAAAAGTTACGACGGATTCAAAACTATATTTGCGAATAACTTACTCGAGCGAATACTCAACACATAAAAGTAGTTGAGAAAAAAGTAAGGATGGATTCAGAATTTTATTGTACTCAAAAAGTACACAAATGGTACTGAACTGGCTCCTTTTCTACTTTAAGGACACCGGACAATTTTTGAAGTGTTTTTGCATTTTGATTAAAATATCTCAGGAACTAAAAATCAGACCTGCATACTGTAATTTAGATGCATTTAATGTTGTATAAATATATATCATTGACATTACCAATTATGTTCTAAAAAGTTTAGCTATAGTACATCAAAAGTGTACTAGTAAATGACTTAAAAGCTATATTCATTGTTTATTAAAACTGAATAAAAACATAACGCTTAGATTTGTTTCTTGCTTATTGAGTAAACATACAGATGATTCTGTATTTTTTTTCCATTTAACTATTAAATATTACATAAAATTATATTGAATATTTTTCTGTATTTTCTGGTCCAATGCCTCTTAGATTATTTTCAACCTGAAATTAACCGTATGATTTCTAATTTTAAAATGCATCCTTGATAATAAATGAATAAATCGTGACGCCTTCCTACGCCTAAGCTGATGAGCGGAATGCCGGCTGATTGGATATTAATAATGCAACTATAACGGAACAATGGACACTATGGCCAGTTCCTCCATGATGCAACCGCTATCCATATCGATGTAGCCTAATGATGGATTTAGTGGGCATTGCAATTAGGGGTGGGAGAGAAAACGCCAAACTTTTGAAAAGAACAGTTCTTGATCTCAAACGAATGAACTGTTCTTCCAAACGGATAACAACAGCTGTTTTTCGTTTCGTTTTTTTCCAAACGAAACACAAGATCTTTTTGCTTTCCAAGGAACCTATCAGTTCATCATGAAAATAACCCAACAATTTTTTTTTATAAGACATGTTTCAATTGTGAAGTTTAGGGATGTAATTTCTAGCTTCCATTATTAATGAAGGCTAGAAATAAATAAAAATTTTCATTATAGTTAATAAATTACTAAATTAACTTAAGCATATTTGTAGGCAAAATTAGTTTATGTTTTTAGATGCATCTGTCTATATTAGTGTCTTGCAGACCGAACATTATTTTTATGACATATTCACATAAATCAATTTAATTGCATAATTATGTTATATTAAAATTGAAAAAGGCAAACAATTGAAAAATTGTTTAAACTACAGTTAAAAGACTCATATTGACCAAACTTCGAACATACAAGGAAGTCAAAATATTATTAAAATAAAAAATGTTCTAAAAAATAATTTTTAGTTTTAATTAGTTAAAAATAAATTTTTTAGATTAAATATTCATGTAATATTACAAATAAATTCAAAGGTTATTAATTTCAAGCTTGAAGTTTAGAAAAAAACTTCATGCATAAAACGATTCATTAATTTCCAGACTTGTTATTAAACGAATAGATATTACTTCATGAATCGTTGCGTTGTTCCATCAACTATTTTTTTTTCAACAGTTCTTAAGTTCTGTTAAGTTATGGACTTAAGAACGATTGAAGTGAAACTGATACTTTTTACGATTGTAAACTTTTTTACAATTTTTATATATCGTGCTAATATGTACATATAGTTCTGACGATGGCCAGCTTTTTTAGTCAAGTCATATGAATATGAGACAGTGGCTGTAGCTTTAAGTTAATTTTATCTTATTATTATGTTTATACTGCTATTTAATTTATTTATATTTTATATTGGTTTGAATGTAATCTTTCATCAGTATTACCATTGTCCTTAACTCAGACAGAATGCAATATTATTCAATAAAAGAGGTTTAAAAAATAAAGCTCTTCACGAGGCGGGATGCAGATATTTTTTACAAGAAATTAAACACACGTTAATTCTTCTAAGTATATAAAAGTGGCTTTACATAATGTGTCAGGCAAACGTTAAGTATCTGACGGTGTTTGTAAATGAATGATGTGGACCCCTCGTATTAATGGGGTCAGGTTGTATTGTCTGAAACACGGCGTCGGATAATATACCCAGCTGTTTTGTCTGACAGGAGCCGTGTCGTACATCGTAAAACCACCTTTAATTGAAACAGTTTCTAATTACTTTTATTAATTATTAAAAAAAAACTATAGTCGTGGTACAAAAAGAACACCTAATTGTAAATGAAGATATCGATATGAATCATCACAGGATTTATTTAAATTATGCTCTATTTCAATTATTATATAATACTTTGTGCAGGAAGCAATTTGACGATCTAATAAAGTATACATTTCGGTTTTCTCCGAAGCGCGATTGAATTGAAATGAATCGTTCGAAGAACGCAAGGAAGAGATAAATCATAACTTAAATGACCGCTAACAAATATGATAGCGGTTTCGGGGTAGTCGGTAATCAACCAACGGTTTTGTAATATTTCATAACATATCAATAATTTGGATTATTACGTTACTTATTTCGTTTCTGATACAATTACAATGTTCTACAATTATTTTACTATTTGATTAAAAATCTTTATTTATTGGACTTTTTTTTTTGTCTGTAAGCAATATCTTCGTTAATTGTCTACAAAATCCAATGGACCCTCATTTTGATAGTTTAATTCACCTTCAGGTGCGAAATATAACCAAATCTTCCAGTTAAATCTGGAAAAAAAGTTATGAAGAAAAAGAACATTTCTTTGCTCATGACTCTAAATGTATACATTTTGAAAGATTACAATTTATGGTCGATTTCACACAGGAGAATTAGATCATCGAAATCGGATCATTTTTAAGATATGGCCAATTTTAATTTGTATACATGTTTTTGTAAATTATTTTGAATGAAAATTAATTCCTCCCTTTGGTAATACATTTCATTTAGTTATTTACATATTATATAGCAATTTGTTCACTGAGCAGTATACTACACGAATTATTCGCACAGTCTAAAATAGTATTTTTCATAATTTAAATAATTAAATATCTGAAGGTACTTATTTATTTTAATATTCGATTTCCGGGATTAACATACAGCAATTGCCCCGGGCACCAACTTTACAGCGTTCGCAACTTTTAAGAATTAAAAAGATATAAATAAAAACGTATTATAATAACTAATTTAGCCTATTAATAAAATAACTGAATCAGAGAAATATTGAATGAAATAAAATTCAAATATTAAATAATATAAAACAGTTTTAAGAAATAAATTTATACTTTTTAGGAGAAATGACATCGTTTCCCGGGGCCTTCAAATGTCTAAGGCCGGACCTGACATACACACTTCGAACTTCATAATTAATTAATTTTAATAATCACTTAAGTCATAAATTAATTATTACTTAATTTTTTTTAAAAAGACGATCCATTCAAAAGTCCAGTCAAATTTGAAATATGGCAAGATATAGACTACTATAATAGGAATTTTTAGTACAAATAATATTTTTTTTTTGTCTTTAAACATGCATTTATACATTTCATCTAAATACTGATAACTGCAAGAAATAATGACATGTCAGGCATGAACAGGGAACAATACCCATGTTATGGGTCCCATAAGCACCACTTACCAGACTTGATTTAATAATTATGGCTATGTAAGGTTGAAGTCCGAGAGTATTTTCTTGAAATGAGATTGGAATACATTCACACATTCTGAATGAATGGAGCACAGCTCGAAATTGTCGATATCAGAAATTTTAAGAATTTATGTAAAGGAGCATACCCTAAAATAAAAATAACTAAGGTGCGTGCTTTAGACCACACGATAGAAACGAAAACATCAACAAGACGAGAATAATATGAAATATTAACTATAAATAACAGCTCATTACAAAGAGGATGAAATGCTGAAAATTTAGCTCGCTTACAATATGCAGGTCCGATTTTTAGTGTGTGAGATATTTTAATCCATATCTTCAATAAAACTCGTTATCATTTGGTTCTCGACACTCGTTTTTTCTTTTCGCCTCTCTAAGACGGCGTCACGTTAAGATAAAATTTTGAATAATAGCTCATTACAAAGAGGATGAAATGTTCAACGTTTGCTTTGCTTACAATATGCAGGTCCGATTTTTAGTTTCTGAGATATTTTAATCCATATATAAGAACACTTCGATTAATCGACTCCAGCCGACTTTACCGGAGCGTTACACATTCGGAATCTGACTCAATCTAAATTACTTTTAATAAAAAAAGTGTAGAACGCGCCTTAAGAATTTTTTACTTATACAATTATGAATATGCCATTTCTGCAATTTAAAATAAAAACTTTTTTTTTTTTATTTCTTTATGACATTTACAACTGTATTACATAAATACATCAAGTAAATTTGGACATAATTGATATAATGACATGAATACACTTGCTGAGTAACTACCCAATGGTAGCACTCTAATGATATGACTACATTAGGAGATCACGGGAAAATAAAAATAAAAACTATTTTGTTGACAATAACAATACCCAAAATTACTACAGCTGGACCTACCAGCAATTGACATGACTTGCAAATAATCTAGCCACTAAATGTTACTATTACATATTATGAACTTTATGTATACCTAGCGTCAAAGGGGTAACGCTGAAGCTAATGCCATAACATTTTGGTTTGGAATTTTAAAGTGCTTACATTACTGTTGAAACGTCCATTAATTTTACGTCAATGGAATCCCTTGGTCTGTAAATATATTCTTCTTATTGCTCTTTATGCACTAGACAAATACAGGTTGGAGCGTACAGTGGCTATAAGCTTAAATGTCATGAAAAACAGCAGGTGAAACAGGAATTCCGCAACCTTTCTTACAAAACCGAGAAACTAATGGCGTTCCCACGTGCCTCGAAGGCAAGATGGCCGGTGCAGGGAAGGACAAAAAGGGCTTGAAGCTGCTAACTTATGCATTCAGGATGGAACAAAGATGTACACCTGGAAGTGGTGTAGTAACGGCGTTAAATCTACAGCGTAGGATTGACGTAGGCGTTACGTAATAAATGTCGGCAACGGTCAGAGGTCCCTGGACTAGTGGAAATTCGCTTTTCACTTCAATTAAAAAAAAATTGGCACTTCCGGTAAACCGATTTTGAGGAAAAAGTTGCTGTCACATCTAAGGCATATACCTATCTTAAATACGTAATATCAGTTTCGTACGACTTTTCGTTTTTTGAGCTAGACTGCTAACATACAAACACACAAACATTTTTTTGGGACTTGGCCATTTCGACTCAGGTACCTCAAAATGTGTATTTACATTGAAAACTCAGATTCCAAAATTTTCTCGATCGCAATACTTACCCTTACTATATATTACAATAAGTAAGTGAAAGTAAAAATGAAGAACCATAAAATATGTTCGTTGTGGGACATTGCTATTGAGTCAATAGGTTATTCAGATTTAAACACGTAAAAACAAAATATGATAACGTAGGGCAACGTATAAGTACTTTATTATACTTGTTTATAATCATATTTAATTATGCTTATGATTGATTTTATTTGATCATATAAAGAGTAGATTTTTATAAAAAAGAAAAAACAACGTCTGTCAAGTAAGGACAGTATAGCTTCCTCACTATTTTTATTGGTTCCACACTTTCCTATACTGGATGTTGCAGGACTAAGTAGCCAAACTGCAAAAATGAACAAAAGGCCTATAAACAAGAAAAAAAATTCCTCTGAAGGTATGTCCACTAACGCTTTGCTTAAAAGGCCTCCACATGGGATTTTCAAGCAGAGAAAATACTATTGTGGTCTGTTCGGATTCACTGAGCCCGTTCCCAAGCATCAATAACCCCTCAGACAATCCTGTCGCGAGTGAAATCTATATCCTGCTCGATAGTCTTCAATCCAAGAGCAGAACGGTAGTTTTTATCTGGGTGTCAACCCAGATTGGCATAAAGGACAACGATGTGGCCGATAGCTGCAACTGAAGCCCACTTGTTAGATAAAGTTCCAAGCTGTCATCTAACAAGTACTGAAATATTTCAGCCAATGAGAAAATGCATCTGGGTTAAATGGAAAAAATTGTGGGATCAGCAAATGACAAATAAACTTACAATGGTCAAACCATCAATGAAGAAGTGGATATCCTCCAGACGAGATGAAGTGATATTACTCGCTTACGTATTGTCCTCCGCTCATTTTCTGCTCCACCACTATTTGGAATTCCATCCAACTTAAAATCCGCCACGCCCATCCTTATCCATATTTAAAACCCTTTTATTCCAATTCCTCCTTACAATCTAATCAGACGCTGGGTAGCTATTTATTATGTAACAACGTTTCATTTTTCTCTATACATCATTTATATATATATATATATATATATATATATATATATATATATATATATATATGTATATATTTTTTTCTTTTATAAGCATGGAGAATTTCAGTCACTTTTCACTGAGAATTGTTTTGTTTTTTCTATTAATAAGATTTTAACTCATTCAGATGTATTTAATTGTTTAATAATATTGAACGCACTCCTCTATATGTATATCATCTTTTTTTTTTCTTTTTTTTTCTCTTATCAATCTACATCTTAGGATATAGATTATATAAGACAATCTACATCTTAGTATATAGATTATATAAGACTTTTCTAATGTTTACAATACTATTATAAGTATTCATTTGAACACATTAAGGTACAGATGTAAATCATTTATTGTAAATATTTATCTGCTTTTTATTATTATTTGTTTCCTTCCTACAATGGTTTCACAACAAAAGTAATTTTTATCGTTCGTTTCCAATTTCATTTAGTTATTTCGTTCTTTGTTGTTTTTAGCAACTATTGTGCAGTATTGTGGCCTTATTGCTCATCTTTTTTCTTTAATATATCTATATAGCTATGTAAATACTTCTGTTATTACTTACGTTTTAGTTATTATTTTATTGTGATATTTATTTTGGCCAGATGTAATGTTAATTTTTATGATCAATACTGTTATTCTTAAGGGACTTTGTCCCAGATTAAAGTTGATGCTTCTATTGTATTCTATTCTATTGGACACAGGCACCTCACCAACGGCTATCTATTGACAAACCAGCTAACTCCAAACTGTCAGGACTCTCAAATAACCCTCTCAGTGCAGCATTTATTTGAAGACTGTTCTAAATATAGCACGAAAATGGCTAACTTAGACATACCTAGGTCTCTCGCCAAGACACCAGGTAAAGACTGTAACCTGAACAAAGTAACCAAATTTTAAAAACAGATGGGACTTTACAATAATATCTAAAACTCTATCAAGTTGACAGAAAATCCTAGAAAACGTAGATGATAACAACAAAAGTTGTTTGTTCTGTAAACCAAAATAAAATAATAAAATGCTTTATTTTAATATGGATTATCCATAGAATGTAATTTTAGTAACTTTTTTTGAAACGCGCCGGAACGATACGATGATTAATCAAGATTTTTTTAATTGCTATATCGAGAATGTGAAACGAATAAGATAACGGTTTTATCATTATGAACAATTGAACCTTAATTTTTAATTTCATGGCTGGGGTTTGAAAACACGCCGACATTACAGCCGTGTCGCAATATCATTGCAAAGACGCAACTGAGGCTTGCTGTAAGTCGAGTTAGTGCGGTTGTGTACTGTGGGATTACTGTGAGAACCACTCCCTTATTGTTAATTTTAATGTGTATATTCATATGGCATATCAGGGAAATTTAATGCTTTAAACGGGAAAAAATTGTTAAAATAATTTTACACAATTATACCAATCTGACATTAACTGAAACAATTCGAAACTTATTCAACCAAACATATACGCTGGCATTTGTTTAATTTTTAAACATGATTAAGATTTTTGTTAAATGACATTTTTTGTATAAATTACGATAGCTTGTAGTCAGACAAAAACAACTGAATATTTATATTAATTCATACCTATTTCTTTAGCTGTGAAATATCATCAATAATAGAACCTTATACAGGGTGTTTCAGGGTTAAGTGGCCAAACTGAAAATATGAACTAAGGATCTCAAAACAAAAAAAAAAATCCTCTGAAAGTATGTCCTTGAACTTTTTTTTAAAGAGATATCCACACCTAAATAATTTCATTGTTATGAATTATTTACGTTATATTAAGTAAATAAAACCTATTATTATTCGTTATTATTCGTTCCTTACTTTAATAATTAAACGTTAACATTAAATTCATATTAAATGTTGTTCAAAGTGATTTCCTTGAGCATTAAGACAGGCTAGGCATCTTTCTTCAACTGCAGCAGTGGCCGAACGGCACTGGATATGTGTTATTGTTTCACACAATTAAATTATCCTTTTTCGACTTGTTTGGTAAGCTATTTGGAAATCGCCTGGCATATTCACGACGGGCAGAAAAAACCGTATACAAACACCATATCGGCATATTTACCATTAGTATAAATGGAAGGCATAATGATGAGCACTCTGCAAAAGCCTCTTACAAACTGATAAATGTTATTTAGAGTAGCAAATATATATGTTTCGTTACATATACATGTTGCGGAGTAAACAAGTCGACACTTTACATTATCACAGAAACTTGCTGTTCCACGTAGGGGCTCTAAAATAGAAATTTTATTTTAATCGGTCCATATTTGTTGAAAAGTGAGTGAACTGAACTAAATAATTAAATAATCATTATATCGTGGCCTTGGTTTGAAAAAAATCTAGCAGTGTGACATTGTTCCAACTGTAGATAACTTTTGAAAGTAATTAGTTTTAGAAGGTTCTAACTAAATATTATCTAGCTGTACTTGATTCATAGTTATTTTGATGAAGGTTAAACATGAAGTTATATAATTTATATTATTAGTAAAGATCTGTTCTTTGTATATGACATATTTGAATCTGTTATTTCAGAGACAACATATGTGATATGTTCTCAACGTTATGTGATAATTTTTAGAAAAACCGTGAAAGCATATATTATACTTTGTAACAATGGAACAGTTGTAATAATTATTAGAGATTTTTTTTAGACCTCTTGGTAGTTGAGAAAACATTGAAGTATTGATGAAGCTTCTTGTGGCGCCAGTGTCGATCAGGGCAGTTTCTTTATATTGCCGATAGTAATGTTGTAATAACGGACGTAATCTATTGGAAGAGCTGGCAGCATTAATACAACTCCTTCGTTCGCTGTGATAGCGTTGCTGTAATCAGTTGAATCATCTGCGCTGTTGAACACATATACCTCTTTGTTGATCGGGTTATCAATGTGCTATGTAAATTTTGCCAACTGCTTTCGGCATTCTTCGTAACCATGTTCAAACTTGTGGCAGAAGTTGCATTTGGATACGCGATTATTTTTAGTTATAATTTTGTTCTTAGATTCATGTAATTCTAGAATTTTTGAGCGTTTGATAAGGCTACGTAAACGGTCCATTTTGTTGGAATTGAAAAATATATTCTGATGTTTTATTTGGGTCATTATGTGGTATTGAAAAAATATGATGAAACGTTAAATAAGTAGGTTGGATTACTTTTAATGATTTTTGAGTAACGTAATTGCGTAGTAAGACCAAGATGTTAAAGAATTTGAGTTACCTTGGTACCAGTCAGCAGCTATACCTGATAAAAGATGTGGTACACCAGTAAGTGCCCTGGTTTCTTCAAGATTGTCTCTTTTGTATAGTTCAATACCAGATATGAACCGAACCACGTCTGAGAATCCATCAAAACGAAACGGGCTATCTAGAATACTTCCTTTCCGACGACTCGCTTCATTAATACTTTTAATAGTTTTATAATTGGTTGTCGTTGTGGATGAAAGTATCTGAGGTCATTTTTGGTAAGATGGTACGATTTCTGAGATTGTTTTTTTTTAGGTGCCATATTGAATATCGTTTGTACATCGTTCATTAGTTGGGCGCCATTTAACAGGTAGGATTTTGAGAGAAGTATTTTTGCGAAATGAACTCAGGAAGCAATCACAATATATTATTGATATAATTACAATTCACCTATTTTCAATATGTAATAATTATTACAACTTTAAAAAGTATTAAAAAAACAAATTTTGTATTATTTATGTTGGTTTTAGCAACGCATGTATCATTAGGTGATCAGAATTTTTAATTTTACTCTGATGTATTTTTATGTAAAAAACATTATTTCTCTCTTTTTTCTTTAATTTTGATAACATGGACAATGATTTAACAGTAGAGTATTGCTTCTGTATTAAATAACTGAAATCTCATTTAACATAAAAAGGATAAAGCGATTCAATAAATCAATTCGTTAAAACAAATAGTATGAAATATTTATTTTTATTAATTTCGGCTTTTCGATTCTACTTACCCTCCATGAAACGTAAAACCTCAAATTTTAGAGTGTTTCTATCTTCAAATAAAATCTTGTCTCACCACGAAAATGCATTATGGAATGACAAAGTTCTACCAGAAAAATTTTATAATTAAAATTATTTTAATAAGTGGTACAATTAAGTCATCGAGAATGAAAATCACAGCTTCAAAAAATAGTACAAAAACAATTGTTAGTCTAAGTAATAAATTATTCATACTACAGTAAATTGTATCTTTGAAGCTATTTTTTTCAAAATCGTTGTAAATTCACTTAGAACTTTTTCAAACCAAGGCCACGATATGTACGCCTTTTTACTAAAACGCTATTAATGTAAGGACGTGTCAAGAAACAAATTCCCCTAAAAGCATTATGGTTTCTGTAACTACGGTTGTTCAGTAAGAGACCTTGAAGAACCACTTAAATATCACTTTATATAGTTTATTTTTCTTCCAGTTATTACAAAATAAATAAATAAAAATTAAATCCTGAATTCACAACTGAACACTGGAAGAAAAATGTTATGCTGAAGTATTGTATATTTTCCTTTAAATATTTTAAAAAATACCCCAATCGAATAAAACTGTGCTGACATATAACCTTTAAATATAAGACGATTTAGGCCAATTTACATATTATTCTTAATAATTCTTAAGAAATAATTTTAGAGTTCTATTAAGGTAATCAGAACTTATGTAAGGTAAGGTTTAAGGTAATTGGTGGTTTGTGTGGTAAAACAAATTACCGCAGAATGAAACCACACACAGCTAGTAAGCATTATAAAAGCATTAATTGTAAGGAAGAAATAGTAAATATTAAGAGTAATCAACGGTGAGTATAATACCTAGCTCAATGGTAATTTTTTTTCTTTTCTTTTTTTGAAAGAGTAGAATGCATCAATTTTTAGGTTACTGGGGTAACTGTCCTAGACGTTTCGACAAAAAAATAGAATTGGGCACGTATGACCAACATACAGCTATAATAACTTGTAGCAGATCAGTAAAGTGAATTATATCCAGAACAACGAAGAAATCCGGAGAAAGTAAAACCAAGATTCAATTACCAGACTTGAAAAAAAAAAATAATCAGAACATATTACTTTTATTTGTTTTAAACACTTACTAAATTATAAATGGTGATTTTATATATTTATTGTTATTTAATTATTAAATATTGAGTTATTAATAATTTAGTTATTTCCAACAGATTTCACTTTTTTTTTTTCTTCCTCACTACCGAATATGGAGCAAGCTTTGTAATCGTGTGGGTAGTTAATTAATGTTTCTACTCAAAATCAAAAATTTCCACTCACGTTTTTAACATTTTTGAGAAGGAACAAATCTGGTTCCGTGATAGTCTGCTTGTTGTCAAATACTTGTGATGGGCTTATCATCCACTTCCATTCAATTTCATCCCCTGCTTTAGCTTACGGTTGCGCAAACGTATTTTCCTTTTTACGTCTATATTTAATAAATGGTTCATTAATTTTGGACCAAAATTGTAGAAAATTTCTTTACAAAACTTGAGATGAATCTCAGAATTTTTCTTAATCAACCTCAACTTAATTAAGATGGACTTAAAGCTCATTAAACGTGGAAGTTATTCTAAAAGTGGGGTAAATGTAATACTGTTAAAGGGTGATAAAAAAATCTGGTGCGCGAAAAACACAACTTTTACTTACTCCTCTACTTTGAATAGAAATTATTTTCTGGCATTGTTGGAATTTTTGAAGTGTCTTTTAAACGGAGCTAAAGCTTAAAGCTTACTTGCATGTAGCCAATCATTAAGACCATTAAAATTATAATTAGTCTATTTATTAAATCGAGAGTTGGCATTAACAATATTTTACTCTATCTGCTTTTATATACCACACAACTTCAGTATCTGAGTATTTCATTTAACAGAATGACTAACTCCAATTTCAAAATGTTTGAGTAATGCCATTTTTGTGATATTTCTAGTCGGAAAAGTTATATCTATATAGACAGTAAATAAGTTGATTTCAGAGTAGGTGATTACAGTGTTGACATATAGAACTGTGAATAAAAGTATAAATTTTGCAACTAGAAACATCACTAAAATTAATAATAAACAATGTTGAAATTGGAGTTAGTAATTCTGTCAACTGAGTTGATATATGCCTAGAAAGATTTGAAAGTATTGTATATCTAAATATTTAACCTATAAATAATTATGGATTGGAGGAGAGAACATAAATGTTAGGTTATTATTGGAAAAATTCCCAACCACACAGCTTTATGTATTCAATATACAGTCAAATAAAAACACGTCAACGTTTTCCCAATTCAGGCGTCATCAGGACAAAAAAGAACAGCTGATCGAACATCACTCCATGAAATCCAATCGCATACTGAAAGGAAGGCAAGACAATAGAGCAAGGAAAGGTTACAATCAAACAGCTGATAGGGAAACAAACGACTAATAATATATATAAATAAAAAATCATAAATATGTTTTAAAAAAATAAATAAAAAAAATTAACGAAGTGAAAAGATATAATGAGAAAAAAATATATAAATAATAAAATTAAGAATTAAAATAATTATACATGTATAAAAAAGCAACGTCAAAATAACTTTTAATAAAAAAACGCTAACTACGTAGATGAAGATAAAAATCGATAACAAAGCTTCATTTTTTAGACTTATCTAAGATGCTCGACGTTTCCAAAGAAAAGTTATTCAAGTTTCTGCTGTTAGTCCTGTAATTGACAGAATTATCCAGCTTCTGTGCAATACGCATAGCCTCAAATATCTTTCTCTTTGAAATATTCTTCTCTTTCTGTCATAATTTTTATTAGTCCTTTGTTTTCTTTATCAGCTGTTTGATTGTAACTTTCTTTTGTTGTGTTGTCTTACTTTTCTTTCAGAGCGCAATTGGATGTCATGGAGTGATGATCGATATTGTTTTCTTCTGTCCTGATGATCCCTGAATTGGCGAAACGTTGAAAAGTATTTATTTCCTCGCCGGAATTCGGAGACATAAGGCTGTTGGTGGTTTGGAATTTTTACCAATTATAATCTGTTATAATATTACAGTTATAAAAAAAAATCAATCAAAGTTCAGACGCCAAAATTTGATACTTACTCCGCTATTAGGCTCATAAAATTATCATTTTCCATCTCTAAGGCAGCATTTTATTCTTAAAGACAATGTAAAACAAAGCTTAACTGTGATCTATCATTGTATCGAGAGCATTTCCTTTTAAATTTTATATTTGTGTTAAAAAAACATAATAATTTCATAGATAAGTGGAGCGGGATGTATCGTAACAATTCTTTGTACCTCAAAATAGACTTAAATATTTGAAGTTACCACGATTTGTCCTTTTAGAAAAGATCACGAGTTTCCTCATGGAGTTTCTTTCCCTGAATGGTCATTGAATTCGACCGCCGTGATTTCACAGAAACGGGTTTCCAGCGAAGCAGATGTCTGATGAGCAAATGCTCTACCGATTTTGGACTGATGCCTTCAATGATAGTGCATTAAATAAGGTATCGAATACTCAATTGAAAGCATCATTAAATATTGAAGGGATAATAATATCTATTGCGTAAATGATTTAGTAGAATCCATAATAGTATTTGATATTGGTTTAAAAATTTCCATTTTCATTTATCAAATGCAATAATGAGTAATCTGATGACGAAAACATGATAATCGGCTAATTTAAATATGTTATTAAATCCATTAACAGAAACATGATAATGGAATAATTACAACACGTTTTATTATTATTTTTTTGTTTTATTACTGGTTCTATTCATAGAATGGTAGAGATAATGAAACAAACATCTATAGATAGCATAGAATGAATTCCAAGAATAACATTATTACTTTTCACATGGAAAATTTTGTAAAATTGTATCAATTTTTCTAAGTGAATATAACAATAAATTTATAGATTTTTCGCACTAACAAATAAATATGATAAAAAAATGCCCAACTGCATTTTTTTCCTCCTTTCACACCAATATTTTCAACGGTAAGATGTTTGCTAAGTTATGATTTTTATTGTAAAAATTTATTTTCTTAATTTTACTTACCTTTTTCAATCTTATACGCTTAGAAAGAATGTATATTTAAATTTTTAATAAAAAAAATAAAATCACTGTCAATTGTTTGTTTATTATCATTGTTTTAATATATAGTGTATGAAATAAATTGATTAAGTATTACATTTCTAATGAAGAGAAGAATAGTTGGGGTGGTCAGTCAAAAAAGAAGGCAAAAATAAATGATAATATTTATTTTTACATATGCCGACGTTTCGACCTGAAGTTCAGGTCTTCATCAGGGCTAAGAAAATAACCAGATAACAAGGTATGAGAAACATAAGTAGTGATGGTAATAAAAATAAAATAAATATAAAGTAAAATGAAATTGTTAGAATGATAACTAAGAACTAAGAGATAAATAATAATAACCGTTATAAAGTGTGGAATGATGAAGTAGGCATAATCAAAAAGGGTGACATAAGTGTTACAATGGGAATCTTAGTACATTTAGTAGATTTTGATAGACTTTACAATATATCAATTTTCTATTTAACTACTCCATTCTAAATGTCTTAATTTTACTATTTATTTTCATTTCTTATATAACTTCATATTTCTTTTTTATGTTTTACATTTTATTCTAAGATTTCCATTGTAACACTTATGTAACCCTTTTTGATTATGCCTACTTCATCATTCCACACTTTGTAACGGTTATTATTATTTATCTCTTAGTTCTTAGTCATTATTCTAACAATTTCATTTTACTTTATATTTATTTATTTTATTTTTATTACCATCACTACTTATGTTTCTCATACCTTGTTATCTGGTTATTTTCTTAGCCCTGATAAAGGCCTGAACTTCAGGTCGATACGTTGGCATATTTAAAAATAAATATTATCATTTATTTTTGCCTTCTTTTTTGACTAACCACCCCAACTATTCTTCTCTTCATTATCCACGACAGTCAACCATTTACCAATTATTACATTTCTAAGTTATATTTTCTATATTTTTTAGTTTTTTTTATAATATTTTTTTCCTTCACCTTTAAAACATTTAAAGTTACCTTGTAAGAATATTTATTTATCGATGTTTCTTTTTAATAATTATTTTAATGATTTCTTTTCGTTTTAATTATTTGCTAATTAAACAGGTATGAAAAGAAATGGTGAAAGTTATATTTTACACAGTTCTTAGTTCAATCCAATTTTTGACTGAAACTGTTAAAATAAATCTTTTTAGTTGAATGAAAACGGAAACTATGACGTAATCTTGTAATAATAGTAAATAATAATAGTTCATCGAATATTGTTAATCAAAAGTTGTATTTAATGTCTTGCACAATGGTAAGTCATTCTAAGATAATTAAAATAAAAAAATAAAATATCAAAAACATTAACCGCCAGAGAAACAAAAGAGCAATTAACGACTGACATCACTTTCATTCTCACTGGCACAATTGACATTCGAAATGAAATCATTTTCATCACTGACAGTTATATTCATAAGAACTACTCAGTTTATTGGAATAATCTAATATTACGAATACAGTGGATTGTTTCTCTACAAACAAAAAAATAAAAACATTTGTATTCAAGAAGGAAGTGAAAACAATATTTCTATTACTCTATGATCTAACTAAGAACCACAAGTTTTGACTTAAACATTTGTAAAACAGTAGCAAATTTATTTAATGCCGTTTCCCTCCTATTTTATGAAATAAAATAGTTAAAACCTAATAATTATTAGCTATCACTAATTTTCTATTAATATTTATCAACATTTATTTAATTTTATGACAAAAAAAAGTTTTGGTTTTTTTTTCATATTTCTCAAAACCCACTTAAACTTGATTAGAGTAATTAATCGTTTGAATGATTATTCATCTAGATAACATATATAACATTCATGGAATACTGAATCCCTATCAAAAGGCCGATAAATACATGTCAAATACATTCTAAATAATAATTGTTAGATATTATAAGAAAAGTTTAATGTTTTCAAAATTAATAAAAATAAATGGTATAAAGCAAACAAATCATTAAGTAATATTTCATTAAAAAGTATGTTAGATATTTTTTTCCCATTGTGAAATCATAATATTGTGCATTTACTGTTACTATCTTTAGTATGAGTAAATAGAAGGGTGTGTGTCATTACGATGCTCTCAACACATTTCTGTATCTATAAACAAGGTCAAAAATGTACATATCTAATTATTACGATAGATGATAGTTTAGAATACTTTTTTATAAGTTATATTATTTTGAAACAATCTGTGCTCTTTGATAGAATTATATGTACCCAGTTTATAATAATTACATAATCAAGAACAGCTGATTTACTTAACATCTGAAATTTGTGTAGAAAAACAAAAAAACTAATCATTGAAAAAATCTACATGAATGAGAGCAACTATAATAAGATGGTTTTACATTGATCTGTTTTTTACAAACGCGGTATGTTATAATCTATTAAAAGCAGTTCAATGTAAACGATATTCTATTTCTTTTTCAAATGGTATAAACAAAATGTAGTTGTTTTCACAGTAACCTGACCTAGACAAATCAGTGGGAAAACGTCTTCTCATAAGTCGAATAGAATATGCTTAAACGTTCATTCCTGTGATTCATTTACAGTCACCTCAAACTATATTTATTAGAGGTTGTACCAGCGTTATTGTCTGTAATTGCTCTGTTACCAAGACTCATAGTGTGCTTCTCAATAAACGGTATATTTACAAAACAAAAAATACGGAACAAAACAAAAAACACATTAAATTTTGGTGTGCTTCTGAAATTATAGTGGTCAAACAAACATTTTTTTCAGCTTTATATAATATTGTAAAAAAAAAAAATTACTAAAAATGTTTTGTTCATTTGATTTTAATTAAAAAATAGAAATTTATTTATTTTGGCCTCAAAATTCTAAGTAATGTCATTCCTAACATTTTTATTTGGTTAGATAGAAGATGGACATCAAATTCCTATAATGTTTTGCAAAGCAATTATGAGAAAAATATTACACAACATTACAATAGATATATAACTTAAAATAAATATTATAGTGTAAGTTGTGACACATAATTAATATAATTATGGTCGATGGATTATTAGCTATTTAATTCTAAGAACCAAAAATAATTATATAAATTTCTATATTTATATGAGATCCTTTGAAGAAAACGTGTTTAACATTAGACATATTAATCCCGTCTATTTTACTCTAATGACATATTATAGTCATTAGATAAATAATATTCTCTAAGAAAATTAGTTTTAATTGAAAGTAGAAAGATAATGCGACTCACTGTTGCCGAGCTCCTAATCCGAGAACTAACTGCTTGATCGTCGCAATCCAAACGCAAACTGAAGCTTCCTCCTCAATAATAAAGGATCAGCTAAAATATCAAATCGCAAAATGTATAACGTAATTCTGAGAACAGCTGCGGTACGTTTATGTCACAATTGCATCACAGTAACGATACAAAGATAACAAGGGTCACACGATTGCAGCAGACATTGTGTCTTCTTCACGACGATAACGGGTGGAAAACATTCGAAGGAGAAACATCATTACCAAGAGAGAGAGAGAAAAAAAAAAAACATTCTGAGAAATTATGTAACAAGACAGTTGGGATTGCTTCGTCCCCTTCGAGCCAGAGATATCGGCCAGGAAACAGATGTAAACTGCAAGAGCCAGCATCCGGAACTGATAGGATATCGCAGGACCTGAGTGCGTACTCAGTTGTCTGTGTTGATAATCCAGCAATTGTCGGCAGGTAACGTGCTGGAATCATTGTTTGGAAAGTAAGCTCTATGTTTAAGTGGATAAGAAATGGCGTTCCATTAACAGGATGTTTGCTTCTATGTGGTGATACCTATATATATATATATATCGCACTTAGTAACATCTGTCAAAAACTTCGTGAATGACTTCATTTAATTGTAACCTACAATCTTTCTATTTATGAAAATTCTCAAAATAGGGGGTTAGTGTTGCCCAAATGCGAGAGCGAGACGAGTCTTGATCTTGGTCTTGCGCAAGAGTCTCGCCACAGTCTTGCAGTTACTTATTAGCTTATTATTATATTTTTTTGGATGGAAGAAACTTCACTAACCCCGAATGAAAAATTTAAATAGTTAAATGCAAAAGTATGTTGGTTATACCAATTATTATTTACAGATAGTAACTAAAAGTGTCAAGTATTTTGGGTTAATTTTTATTAAAAACTCGATTTTTTTTACCATTCTTGGTCTTGGTCTTGCAACAGTTAGATAAAAAAACGTGTCTTTACCGCGGACTAAAAAGTTGACAGAAATTCTAATTTTTGTAGAATGGTCCTATAATTTGCATAACTTGTCCTACATCCCATGTTGGCTATCAGGAGTGCTATTTTCATTATATTTCAAATGATTGTAATCTAGATTTAATAATACGTGGGTTCCGATAATTACGTTCCTGACAAGAATTCATTCCCCTTCATTTGTATAATGTATCATTTGAATCTTTAAAAATAAATAGCTTAATAAGAAAACAGATCTTCTCTAATTATTATAAAATTATATAAATTTGTAAACTATACAGACTACTCCGTCAATACACCATTTTTTTTTTTTAATAATTTATTTCTATGTGTTAACTTTAATATGGAATTATTTTTAAATTTATAGATACATAACACTACTTATTATTTTAAAATTAATAATTAGTTTTATATAATTTTATTTTTCATAATGCTTTCTTTAAATTGATAGTTAGTCTATCAGTTTTGCTAATACAACCTTATAATAATCTAACAATGTGCAAATGATAAGAACTTGCAGTGTATTATAAATTTTTTACTGAAAATATTTCTATATCCACAGTCTGCCGATTCAGTACAGTCCTAATTTGGAATTTATAAAACCTGACAACTCTAAGTAACTGTTGATTCTAAACGCTGACATTAAAAATCAAGTAACAGTTACCTGGAAAAATGGTGGATATAGAACAGCTGACTGAACACTGCACAATTAAAAGAACAGCTGTTGTCATGATTTTATCAAAAGCAACTCAATTATACAAAATATAAATAAATAAATAAATACAAGGAAGCAAAGAATATAATTTCAAAAACAAATTTAAATAAAAAATCATTGCTGTTATTTACTGATTAAAAAAAATCTTAACATGATAATTTTTTTTATAACTAATAAGTTAGCATTTGTGAGTAATGCAGTTTCACATTAAGATCTATAATATAAGAGAACATTTTTTCTCAGCTCCAGAACTGTTGTAGTTGATTATGCAGATAAGGCGTGGCAATTCAGTCTACGCCTATAAATGTCGCATAGGTGTTGTTAGGCATGCAATGGAAATAAGCTGCATGTATATGCTTTGGCATATATATCTCCAGGGAATTTTAAACACAGCCTATCCACCCAAGGCAATGGCACATGCCTATCCTTCCCAACATAGGCGGATCTACGGGGTGGGAGCTTTTGGGCTGAAGCCACTCCCCAAAATAGTAAAATATAATCATGTTCTATGAAAAAAATGATCTCTAAAAGTATTATTGTTTGTTTATTTACATTTAATAGGACTTCAAGAAGCATTTAAACATCATTTCATATAGGTATCTGGTTTCTTTCTTTTTCTTCAAAAGTAATTATCGTAATATTTACATTTAAAAAAAAGTTTTCGGGTTGAAGCTCCCCAAAATTAAATCCTGGATCTATTAGTGCCTCTCAAATTATGTTTCCTCTTTTTGATTACTCTGCAAGAAGAATAATGAAAATGTAATTTATTGAAGGAAGTCAGTCAACTGTTCTATATATCATGGGTGATAAATATTCAGAACGCAGTCATTATAAAGTTTTTATTAGTGCCGACGTTTCAACCCAAAAATGTGGGTCATCATCAGGAAGCGGTTCGAGCACTGAAGGTATTCAAGTACTGGGTTTGAAACGTCGGCACTAAAAAAAACATTATAATGACTGCGTCCTGAATATGATTTTGCCTAGGTTGAAACCTCCCTGCCCAAATATTGAAACATCACAAAGATATGGGTCCAAAACTTGAAAAATCTAGTTAAAATATGCTACTTTCAATAATGTTGATGGCGCAACGCCATACCACCCCCATACATCATTAAGTAAAGGTGACAGTAGTTGTCACTGCCATAAAAAGTATTGTAAAACCTTGAAATTATGTTTTAAGAAATAAACATAAGATAAGCGTTGTTCTAGATTAATCGTACTTTTATCTATTCGATGGTGTAAGAACAGACTGGTTGACTTTAGGATGAAACTAACGCATAAATTTTCTACCCCAAGGCACAAAGGGGTTATACAATATATTAATTACATGATATATAATATATTATTTCCGATAAGATGCTGAACAGATTAAACCAAGATACTGATAGTTCCTATAAAATCCTTTGGGCAATGTAAATCTAGGTTCCATCTTCTCTTTTCAAATCGTTGCATATCAGTATATAAACTAAAATAGAAATATAATGAAGTGTAGAGTAAATAATTGATTTATGACAGATTTTGTTTACTATAATACAGTTTATTTACAATTCGATTTCCTCAAGAAGTAAAGAAAAAAGAAAAATACAAGAAAATTTCCAGTGGAAAGTAAGATAAGATTTTTATAAAGGAAGGAAATGGTCCGGGGTGGCGGTCATAAATAGGTTAAATAGTGGTAAAACTATTTTATTGAAAGATGACATTTCGACTCGACTTTGCAGGTCTTCTTCAGGGCTAGATCGGACAAGATACAAAAAGATAGAGAATTGTGGCAGTTACATAATATTTAGACAAAATTTATAAACAATGCGAATAAGCTTATTGAAATTATAAACAGTGAGTACATTAAAATATGAACAAAGTAAGCTAAGTAACAAGATCCTAAACTGAAGTAAATAGATGTTAACAATTGTTGTAGTGTAATATATAATAAATGCAAATGTGAATATACTTCTACAGATCTACAGGAGAGATTGAAAGAAAAGGAAAAATGATATAATATGAAATATTAGACATAAAGGAAGGTGGAGAAAGAAAAGAAAAACAAAAATTAAATAAATAAGTAAATAAAATGGAAGAATATAATTAGAGACTTACAGGTGTGTTCAGCTAGGAGTTTCACTTAGAACTGGAAAACCAGGGGTAAGGACAGGTATAGGGGAAGCTGACTGATTCCGTAAAGGGGAAAAACCTAGAAAATTACAGTATTTAAAATTTGAAGATATGGATGGATACAACGGAAAAATACTATATCTTTGTCGGCTTTCAATACAATAGTTTTACCACTATTTAACCTATTTATGACCGCCACCCCGGATCATCTCCTTGCTTTATAATGCAACGATCAACTATTAAATATTCAATAAAATTTTTTTCTGTTATTAAGCCATCTAATGTTTTGTAAATTTCTAGATAAAGGAAGATAGATAAGATTACCTGAAGAAGAAGAGGAGGAAGAAGATGAAGCAATGGAAGCCTGCGACAGGGGCCTGGACACCGGGGGCGGCGGCGGCGGCTCCTGGGGCCTGCTCAGTGTCTGCCGCCCCACCAAGGTGTCGTACATGTTCAGCAGCGTCGGCACCAGGTCTGTAGTCGTACCTAATGTAATGTCAACAAAAATATATTAATAAATTAATACAAATAAATTTCATTTATTTAAATAAGTATTAAAAGAATTATAGAGGCCAGTCTATCAAACTTCCTGCAGTGCCATATTCCACGCCCTGATGAAGTGAAATGACCTGCGGGTCTAAACGTCGGCGTAACAATTAAAAATACTAATTTTGGCCATTTTCTTCTTAATCTGCGTTGTTAAGGTAACAGGGAGCAGGAGATAGAAAGAACCAGAGGATTGGAGTGATTTTGGGTTGAAGAATGAAATGTAGTGTATTTGTCGTGGATGTAGGATTTTACTGTTGGTGTGTTTAAGTCGTTATGTATAGTAGTGTTTGAAATGTAACAAGTTGTGTTAGCAATTTTACGTAAAATTTTTGATTGTGCTGTTTGTATTTTGTTTATGTGTGTTTGTTTTGCTGATCCCCAAAGTTCTGCTCCATATGTCCATATTGGTCTCAGTAAGGTGTTGTAGATCAGTCGCTTGTTTCGTAAGTTAAGTGAAGATCTGTAATCCAGAAGATTTGAAAGTTGGCTATATCGTCTAGTAAGTTCTTGTCTTTTTAATTTCGTATGTATGTTCCAAGTAAGTCTTTTGTCTAAGTAGAGTCCAAGGTACCGTACATAGTTCTTTGAAGGCACTGGATTATTGGCAATCGTTATGGGTGGACATGAGGCTTTCCTAAGAGAGAAACTAACGTGGGTGGATTTCTTACTGTTTATTTTGATTTTCCAGTTTTCAAACCACTTTTCAAGATCATGAAGATGGTTTTGTAGGGCAATTGATGCTGAAATGGAGAATTGCAATTGAACTGGAGAATTTTTAGTTAAGAAATAAATTTATTGATTTTACCTAAGCATAATGAACAATTTTTATTTATTTTTGGTACTACGGTCCTTCATGAACACGAGTCTCTTTTATTATCATCCTCAACTCTCCTCTATGCCGGGTAAATATTTGACATCTTCGGATTTCCATCCTTTTTAGAAATGAATCGTTTAATTTCGTTTAACTATCAGGCGTGGTATTTCTCTGGTTTCTTTCATCAGGTCAATGCTGCAGTAGACGTTCGAGAATTAAGTCTCTTGTCGTTTGTACCACACGACCCAGGAATCTGATTTGGTAACCCCTGCTAAATCTTCCAATATCAAATCCTTTCAATCCAAAATCCTTGGAACAATAGTCAATGCTCCATACTACGTCACAAACCAAACCTTACCGTGATCTCAACATTCCATTTATCCTCGACGTAATTTCATCCATTTTTTTAAACTTCCATCAAAAAAATACCTATCATAATCCTTTTTGTATTTAAGTCCTGAGCATATGTGATGTCTTAAGCGCTTTCACTCAGTCTCCTCTGGCTTTTAAACAGTGATGCGGCTGGGAGAGAAGCGTTGGGATCTCTTTTGGCCCTTCTTTGTCAGAGTTCCCGAAGCTCAATGTAAAAATGAATGATTCATTCATGTATTGTATAAATGAATGAATATATATATATATATATTCTTCTTATTTCATTTTTTTTCTCAAAAAAAATGTTTTTTTTATTTTTTTGTAGTATTTTATTTTATTTTGTATATAAAAAGTATGAATGAACACATAGATCCATAATACCAAATGTCCTTGATTGTGGCAGATTGGTTTCTTATTCTTCAAATAAAAATATAGAAATAGATTACCCCTTACAATTGAGATATAATCCAGACACGCGTTCATTGGTGCGCAATCTCTAGAAGCTATGTTCACACACCGCACCATATCCTGCGTAGAACTCTTCTGTCCCATGAGCTAGAAGAGTTCCGTTTTGAAACGTTTGAGATTACGCAGGTCTCAGATCCAAATATATGTGTGTTGACACCCGTTTGGGGTCCTTATGACTTTCTCATATGCCATGATCTGCGTTTCCACACACATATATATATATATATATATATATATATATATATATATATATATATATATATATATATATATATATATATATTATATATATATATATATATATATATATATATATATATATATATGAGGCAACAGTACATTTGCAATAGTTCACTTGTACAAAGTACTTTTTTTTTATATAGTTGGTAATGAATTAAAATTACTTTCTTTTATATACAAAAAAAAATAAAATAAAAATAGAAAAAGTATATGAATCAATGATCAATTTAAATATTATTTTTCAATGTCCCCGGATAAACTATTACAATTAATTCGATAGTTACAATATAAAATATTCATATTTTGTTTTTAATTAGATGATATTTAATTCTTCGTTAGCGTTATTGAAGGAATAATTCAGACTTATTAATACCAATCAGTCAAATAGCTGTGGCCACCTGGTACATTACACGTGGCGTTATTTATTGCCAGCCACGTGTGTTTGCCATATCTTCTCATCTACGTCTCGGTTATCAAAGAGCCCCTAAGTGCTACAGATACTGCTCTGTTTCTAAGAGGGAGAGAGGAAACGGCTGGTGTCTCTTAAAATACCGCTCCAAATCTTCTGCCTTAAGTAATACAGTTAACGTACTATCTGATATTTCTACCTATATGGGCTATAGAGATTAATACATTAGAAATATACTCTTTCTTAAGATAACGTATTTTCACTATAAAAATAAAATGCTTTACAAAGCTCCAAAATGTATTATATTCCATTAGATACTCCATAAAATATATTTTTAATAAATTTTACTCATTATAACCTATGAAATTTGCAAATCAAATGTGAATTAAATCTTACAAAATTTAAAGAGCTCATTACTTTTTTATGTACTTATTTTAAATTATATTTATTTATTTACATTTTTAACATATAATACGAATAGCGTTTTGTTTTTTGCATGATGTTTTTTTTTTACTCGTTAAATATTTTTTTACATAGGTGATAAATATTCAGGACGCAATCTTTTTTTAAAAAAATTTTAATTTTTTATTGGTGCCAACGTTTCAACCCAAACATGTGGGTCATCTTCAGTGAGTGGTTTGAGCACTAAGGGTGTTCAATTATTAATTTTTTTTACAATATAATACTATACACGTCTACCTAAGGAAATGGTTTGGGAAAAGGCCATTTAATAATAAGAAATATTAAATTTTTTATTTAATTATTTTTTAAGTGTGTTCTCCTCGTATTCTTGGACATGCCAGCTGTTGCCACATCAACTATTAATGATCGTTTGTTCGTGTAAATTAGTAAGAATTAATGAAAAAGATTCTTCATGTGTTGGTGAACTCTAGGTAGTGGGAAATATGTACTACCTCGTTAGTCACGTACCATGGTGCTTTTGTTATGAGTCGTAATATTTTTGTTAGGAAGGTTTAAAATTTTTGTAAATAATTCTTCTTGTCAATTAAGTATATCTGTGAGGAGTATGTCCATATTGAACTTTTTTTTTTTCTATTTCAGTTTCAGTTTTAGAGATTTATAAAAAAGAATAACTGAATAGTTTGTTAAGGTTTTTCCCTTTCATTTTAACATGCGACCCCGAGTATTCCATCTGTATATACAAATACACACACAAATATATCACTCTGTTTTATAAAAAAGTTTTTATTGACCGTGTCATATTTTATTTTACATATACAAATAAAGTATGCTTACAAATTAGCAATAAGAATAATTATAATTTTATAATAATGTAAATTGGATTTGGCGCGATGTGTAATATAGAATTTTAAAAAACCTCTACTACTAACAACTGATGAAGGGTTATGGGTTCAGTACAATGTGAGGAAGTACTGTTGTGCAGGGAGGTGACTTACAAATATCACGCTCAACCGCCTGGTTTTCCCCCTTAATTAATTATTTAATTAAGAGTACCCACTTTATAGAGGGTGGACATACCACAGGAGGGTCTCCCGAGCCCAGGATCGACCCATGCCTAATGAAAAATTACTAGTCATCAGCCGGATTCGAATCTGAGACCTTGAGCTCTGGAAGTCAGTGCTCATCCACTGAGCTACCCCGCTCCCTGATATAGATTTTTAAAGAAATTAAAAATATGTCCGATCTGTCGTTTCTTTCCGTTTATTTAATGTTGATACAATCTTAACTACGGAATACATGTAAATTACAATTTGGGAAACGAGTAGTACAATTAATGGAACAGTTGCATAATTTGTAAAATGGGGGTTGGTCTGCCGAATGCGGACAAGGGTACCTCCTAGTATATATACTATATTATAAAATAATATATATCCTTCCTAAATTTATTTTTTTAGTTAATAAAATTTAGAACTAAATTAATTTGGATTTCGAATGCCTTAATTTCATTTTTGACGTACCTAGGACGGTTTCCACTTTCATCAGGAATTTCAGTTCATTCTCACCTCATTGACATTCATGAGCCCGGGTAGCTCTAAATCCTGTACAGGTGAGAAATTAGCTTAGAAAGTGTTGCCGCATTCAATTCACTATCGTTCACAAAACAGGAATCCGGGTACCTGCGGTATTTGCATGAGGAACTGGTTTCGTTCCATCAATATGTAAAACTATCAATTTCAGCTTTGTTCGATAACGACATGGCTCATCTGCATTTTTATTTATTGAATATTCACATTACGAACGTTATAAACTCGAGTAAAACCTTTTCTAATACATTGTATGATAATTTATTGCTTTGTGTAGTATAATTATATTACACAAAGCAATAAACTATCATAAAATTCTATCACAAAATTGTATGGACTTAAAATTTTAAGTTAGCACGATAGGAAGAGATCAAACTTCTTTTTAGGCTTGCACTATTTATCGTTGTCTTTTAAAAACAATTAGTTTTAATTGTGGATTTCTGATTTTATGCCATGTACAAGACATAATCGTTGTGAGGAACGGAGAGAGAATGTGAATTTGAAAATTCAAAAAGTTGGGGGAACTTTAAGAAGATTTAAAAGCCTACTCTAAGGTGCAAAAATTGTTGTCAAACATTGTAATCTAAGATTTAAATATTAAATTAAAGAAAACAGTTAAGATAACCGCTCCCTCAACGATATAGATGAAATGAATTATCTAGATCATTACAAAAAATATTCGAAGTAAGTAATCAGCTACAAAAAACTTGCTTGATGCGCTACTTCGCAGAGTTGCAAATGGAATATAAGAATAAAATAAAAAATATTGAAATAAAAGGAACAAAACAAAAAACAATACCAATCCTTTTAAGTTAAGAAATAGCGATTTTATCCATACGTTGTTGTGTTTAAATAGAAAGAAAAAAATGTTGTCTTAGCAGTTGAAATCCAAATGAAAGGGGGACTTTTTTTTTTTAATTTACTTATTGATGATATTTACAACTGTATTACAAGTAAAAATACATTTAGTAAATGTGAACAAAAGAATATAAAAGCATGAAAGCATTTGTTGAGAAACTACCCACTGGTAGCACTCTAAAAATGTATTTACAAAAGGAGATCTCGAGGCTATCTTCTTTTCAGACGCCTCGGAGGGTTGTCCGGGATCGAAAAGGAAGCAAGGTTAGAAACGAGAGGGTTAGGATGGTTGTGAAGTTTGTTATGGAAGGAAAGGTATCTGGATTGGGCCAGGTCAGAAACATACGGAACATTAAGGTCGTTATGGATGATTTTGTTTGTGACGAAGTAAGAAGCTGTGAGGATTTTACGAAGGATTTTGGATTGTAAGGATTGGATACGAGAGGAATTCGATGGCTTAGTGGAGCCCCAGAGTTCAATTCCGTAAGTCCAAATAGGTCTTATTGTAGTCATGTATATGAGTCTTTTGTAATTGACTGGGAGCTTAGAGCGTTTGTCTAGTAAGTGCTGAAGTAGTCGGAAACGTCGAGCTGTTTCTAAAGGGGAACTTAAAATATTTCTTAAGGAAATAAATATGTCATAATTTTATAAATTAAACTTCCAGGAAATTTTGTTTCTAGAATTGGAAAAATGAAATTCTATTCCATCTTCATGATGTTCACGACATATCGAACTCGCCATGACCTCCAACACCACTCATGATCTCTTATGTGAAGAAGTAGCTCCGTGTTAAATATCCCCCTGGAGCCGACATAAAAAAAAAAAGCTCACTTCCACGTTGGACATGAGACCTTGAATGTGCACTCAATTAAGAACATTTCATTTATTAGTGAAAATAAAACCATGATGTGCTGAGCTAGTTTGTTGATGTGCTGCGGGGGAGCAGCAAGGAGCCGGGAAGATGGAACTGTCTACAACCCTATCCAATTACTACAACCAATAATCTATTGACCCTTCAAGTAATTGAGCATATTCATGATCAATATCTCCCTATCTCCATCAGATATGTTATGTTAAATCAGATATGGTATGTTAAAAGAGAAATGTCGTGATACCTTCGGAGAGACCGAGTTCACCGTGAGAGGCCTCTGGTTTGGGTCTCGCGGAACAATTCCAAAAAGAACGAGGAGCTTCCTCGTTTATATTAAATTGTATTTAATTCTAGATATATACACTCTTGTTTTTTGTTGTTGTTGTATTATAATTTTAAATATCTTAATATTGTGTATAGGAGAGATGTATAAAGAGGGATAAAGAGAGAGAAGTGAGAGAAAGGGAAATTAAATGTTAAAAAAAGGAAGAAAAAACATGAAAAATGAAAGGAAATGTTATATGTTATACTCATATAAACTAACCACTTCTGTATATTTATATATAAGTTTATTTATTGTCCTGCGGGTTAACGAAAATGCTGTGTGTATAGCAACCCATTTGATATGATATTTGATATGAAAATAAAGTGTTTCCCTCTAAGCTTAAATATGCAGACGGCAGGCTTATTTAAACACAGGATTTTTAAAGGCGGTGTATTAATACCGGAGTTTAATGCTCTCGACAACGGAACTCGAACCCATAATCATCAGGTTATCACTTTGCCAGGCTACGGATGAATTACAAACGCGTTAGCCTATTCGACCATCCATTTGGTCCATGATATTGAGGCTGTTGGGAAATTTCATATTTTATTTTTCGTAAACTTCCCACATCAAAAAAAAAAAAAATAATAAAAATAAAATAAATAAACAAAAAAAAAAATACAACGTGGGTTATCGCAGTAAATTGTAAGTTTGTAAGGATTAATATATATATTTTATTGAAATTTACAACTGTATTACATGGAAAATACAATAAGTAAATGTGACAGGATTAATATAAATATGATATTTTAATTTTTTTTTATTAAATTGCGAATCCATTTTTTAAAAAAATTGGGTTAAGTAGACTTTAAAAAAAGCAAATCGTCAAATATTTATTAGCAATGAACAAGCCTATATTTAACATTGTCGAGGTAAAAATACTAGGAAAAGATATTGTTATCAAACACTACATGGAGGCCATATTGAAAACACAAAGCTTTCCGCAAACAAGATAAACACTAATTCTTGTAGATAAAAATTGCACTTAGC